AACATATTTCATGGCATCCTGGAAGTACGAAAGCATTGTTTCACAGACGTTAAAGCAACGTTGTTTTACGAAAAAAATTTTGTTATTTTGGAACTAATTGTGCTTGAACTTTTCTTAGCCTCAAATGATTTTTCAAAATGGTTTTCACTTATCCTTCCGATATTCCAACGATTCCAGTAAGATCTCTGACTGTTAATCTTTGATTCTCAAGCACAAATTCCTTCATTTTGTTGATGTGTTGCTCATCTTTTTATATTATGGCCGTCCTAGACATAGTTAGTTGTCAAAGCGTTCTCGACCCTCTTTGAATAATGTGTATTAATCAGTTTCCTCGCAATGATCACCGAAGACCTTTCCAAACATTCTTAACCTTTCGACACCAGAAATTTGATTCCGCACACAAAACTTAATGGAACTTTTTTGTTGAATAATTTCACTCAACGTAAAAATCGCCGAATGCCCTTTAAGTACTTTAGATAGACTAGCTTATACTAAACACTAAGAATTATTTTGATGTGACATTTCGCACAGATGTCACTGACAGTCATACCAACCAAGAAAAAACATTACAAATATATAAATATTTCGACGAATGGGTTTTTACGTGAAATCTTAATTTAAAAGTCTTACTATTTTTTGCTCACAATAGTATAAGGTGAGTGCCGAAGAACCTCCCAATCAAGTTCTTGGAAGTTTTTTGTCACTATCTAAGCTGTTGAGGGTATAGATTCGAATTCGTTTGAGGGAGCAGCTCATAGGAGATGTTTCCCTGTTAATCCCACCAAACGCACAATAAAAGCTTCTGAGTGACAATCTTGGGTTAGCTATCGTTTGCGTGGGCTCACTGCGATTCAACCACGACTGTATGACACTTTTCTTCTTCATTAACCATCCGCTTCAGAGATTTGATTTAGTTACCAATTTGTTGGCTGCTGAAATTCGCAGGTACAGATTTGGCCTATGCACTCATATACCGAGCTTCTTTTTATATACACTCTGGCTAGCTTCTGTGCAGATTCAACGATTTTAATTTATTAGCGATATTTTCGTCAATTACCGTGACATACCGGAACAGATTCGACTAACCCAAAATTTTACTTGTTTAGGTGTTAATGTGTCAGAATCATAGTATTTATTCAGGTTGGAATGATTGTTCTTCTAAACTTAGAAACTAGTGCTTCAAGCCAAAATCTTCATCAGGCATTATTTATGAAATTTAATCTTTCCATTAAAAAATGGTTATTGATTTTGATTAAATAAAACTTAAAGAAAGCTTTCAATTTCAAAACTCCTTTTTAGATCCTCAAAACAAAACTTTAGCTAACAAACTAACTGAATTGCCGAACAATGCCGCGCAGCTCATCGCTCTAAGTGGGTCAACAGTTGTATGCCTCACCGGTATTTAAGCGCTCAATAAAAAGTTATGAATGTACACATGTTCAAACATTTTCGAAAAATAAAAAAGCACAACAACAATTTGTATCAATAAAGTGCAAAATTAGTTTTAAGCAGCAACAACAACAATAATAAATAAGTAGCGACGCTTTGCTGTAAAAATAAAGTGAAAATACTGTAGGAAAAAACTGAGCTTTAATAAAAGCTCAAAAAATGATTTACAAGCCACTAGCTACAACTCGTTATGAGGTAATAGCAAATGATAAACAGTTACGTTGTTGAACTTGAAGCCAGAAAGGCAGAGAAGCGCAGAAGTCTGAGCGGGTGTGGGGCGGTGGACGCACAGTGAATGAGGTGGACAAACCGGTGGAGGTGAGGTGGGAGCCGGAAAACCGCAAAGACGGCAACGACCAAACTGTCGAAAGTGCTGTGCAATTTTTCGAAGTTCGCAAGCAAACAATAAAGTATAGACATACATACAAACATACATACATCCGTGTACAGAGATATACATATTGTGGATAAGCATTTTTATTATTATTTAATCACTTGCTTATTTTCCAGCGTACACAGCCAATATGGGCTCACAATTAAAAGCAAAAGCAAAAGCAAAAAATTCACAGCCACAGGGCAGTCGTGCGTTGGTGGAAAGGGCGTGGTATGGCCGGCAGCTATGGTTATTACGCCACCAGTGTTACTGCCAGCGGCAATATACACACACACCCACTCACGCATACATGAAACTCTAACAAAGCAACGGTCTTCCAGCGATCGTGTTGGTATCCGTTGAAAAATGCAAATCATGCAGACGCGCGTTCGCTTTTACTCGTATGCGCGAGGCAAGACGAACACTTGCACTTTTACACAAAATATAATAAAATTATAAATGGCTTAGAAAAAAGAGATAAAAGACTACACACCAAGGGTATTATGGCGTTGCCTCATGAAATATCGTTTATACCGTTTACCGGCGAGTATTCCATATTTCATTAAATTTCGTGGTCTGCCAGCGGTGCGTTCGATTTTCGTATAAAAACTAACACTCGACTCCAGCTCATTAGTATTCAAGTCACACACTTCGGAGTGGGAGGACAAACCGATACGCGAATTTTGTAATTCTTTGCAGTTTTAGCACTCACATTCACGAAATGGCTTTCAAGGTGAGTGCATAACTTTCATATGAGCGTGCCTCGATGGTTGCTATGTGGAGGAATTTTCGGAATAGTCAAATTTGGCGTACGATTTTAACCACCAATTTGCTTCTCTATCTGTAATTTCAGTTCTTCGCTGTTGCACTATTGATCGGTGCTGCTCAAGCCGGCATTATCTCGGTACAGGAACAACATGGCATTCCCTTGGAGCATCATCATCAGCATGAGGCCGCCGCTTTGTATCATGCACCCGCACAAGTGGCGCATGTTGCTCATGCACCAGTTGTTCATGCACCAGTGCATTTGTTGCACAAGCAACACGTTGCCCATGAACAGTATCCCGATGATCCTCATCCTCAATACAATTTCGCCTATGACGTACAGGATGCCGTCTCCGGTGATTCCAAAAGCCAGTCGGAGAGCCGTGACGGTGACGTAGTCCATGGTGAATATTCGTTGAACGATGCTGATGGTTTCCGTCGCACTGTCAAATATACTGCCGACTCTGTCAATGGTTTCAACGCTGTCGTCGAACGCGAGCCCCTCACCCATAAAGTTGTGGCTGCTGCGCCTGTGCAGTACCATCACGCTCCGGCCGCTGTTGCTCCAGTGCAATACCACCACGCTCCCGTTCACGCTGCCCACGAGTACGCCGCCGTGCCAGTTCAGCACCAAGTTGCCACACACACCAGCTACGAGGCTCCCCATCATGAAGAACAACAACACTACTACCATCATTAATTGACAGAAATGCCATTTTCAACCAATTCGCTTACTCTGCCCTTGCCATTGTAAAAAAAGTATATACATAAGTAGCTAATTAAAAATTTGTATACCAAGTATTATGCATTAAACCTAAAAAATAACAAATATCAAATTGATTTTATAAACCGGTAAGTATATTCTAAAAGAGAATCTAAGCCAAAAACGTTTTGTACAAAATTATTAACTCTGCTGGTAGTGTGAACATATCTTAACCCCTATGGTTTTCACAAATGTTAGGTAGACTTAGAGCTAGAACTACAGAATATTTATTTGATTCTCCAAATGGTATTGAATTCCACTATTCAGGTTTCATAACACATTTTTTAAATTTTCTCTTGCTGATCTCCCCTGATATAACTCAGCATTTTATATAAAGACTTCAGGCCCATCAGCCTCTCCTCCTTTTTACATAAAGGGACACATTCAGGAGCGCAACATGCTTATTGTAAAGGTCAGTAGATATTGCCCTGTATACAATCATGTCGTGGCTAGAGGAAGCCATTAGGCTTAAGGAATTCGCTGTTGGGACCTTCCTTGATATGGACGGTGCTTTTAAATAATGTCCTCCCGGAAGCAGTAACTGCTATCTTCTGTGCCACAAAGTGATTGAAACGGAATGGGGAAACGCACGTAAGGGAACCTCACTCTTTCCTCTTCAATGAATCCTGCTTAAAAAACTTGAAGATTGTGGCTGGCAAGATCATTGCCTATGCAGACGATGTAACCCTTATGGTCACAGGAAAGTTCCTGAGCCGCGTTCACGAATTGACGCAGGGGTATCTCATTGGTCTCGCCATCGACCCAAATAAAACCGATATGGTTTTATTCACTAGAAGATACAAGATAGTATAACTGCGAAAGTTGCCATAAGACTCAGGTAGTCTGGGTTATATAAAAGAACACGGGTCTAAACATTCGAAAATCCTCACTCACTTTGGCTTCATACCGGATTACTTGGTTCATGGGGTCGCCAAACCGAAATCGAAAGATGCCGTTGGAGGGGAGGAGCAGTGAGTTTCTTCACGGATGGGTCAAACCTATGGCGGGAAGATTGGAGAAGGGTTTACTGTCGAGAGCTTCCTCGCTCTTGCAGCTATTAAGATAGCAGTATATTTACTGCTCCGGAGTGTAACCTCCTTCAGTTAAGTAATCATCCACTCAGATAGCAGATCGGCGATATTAGCCTTGAGGTAATTAACAGTACGTTCAGGGCTGGTCGAAGAGTGCCTAACCGCGCTATCAATAGCATCGAGAAGCTTTGTGATACGATTGATTGATTGTTGGCCGCAGTTCGAAAATTTTATTCAAAATATGGTCGGAGTGGTGTTTCACTTCGTCAACTGTGAATATTAATTGAAATAGCGACAACTTCCAGTCTTGCGTTAATTTTGGAACACCCTGTACTTAACCGAGTCTCCGACGTATTACAAAATTCATGTCAAACAAAATATACCATATTTAGGGTATATATACTACAAATCTGTATCATGATTATCCTGGTGTTGCTCTTAAAACTCTACATCAGCTCCAAGGTCGAACATCATTTAGTCATCAGCAAAAATTAAAATTTCAGTATTATAAGAAGAAACTATACAGGGTGCTTCCTATTCTTTACTTACCGTAAACAAAGTTTAAGATTACATTCATAGTCCTGCACCGGCAATTTGTAAAGTATTAATTAAGTGTGTATTTTAACTATTACATATTTTTTATTTGAAAATCACAATTTTAATTAAACTACAAAAACAGTCAATCAACTGAAGCCTACGAAATCAAGCATTTAGTGGTGGGCGGCAGTGTAGGTGGTATAAGCGGGAGCCGCATAGGCGTGCGCGACAGGGGCGGCATAGTGAGCAACTGGAGCAACCGTTTTGACCACTGCAGGAGCTGAGTAGTGAGCAACAGGAGCAGCGTAATGGGCAACTGGGGCCACTGTTTTCACAACTGGAGCAACAGCAACGGACTTCACCAATGGTTCGCGATTCACGACGGCGTTGAAACCGTTCACGGGATCGGAAGTGTATTGAACAGTGCGCTTATAACCGTCAGCGTCAATGAGGGAGTATTCGCCGCGAACCACATCCCCATCACGTTCCTCCACTTGGGTCTTCGAGTCACCGGATACTGCGTCTTGCACATCATAGCTGTATTTGTACTGAGGATGTGGGTCGTATTCTTCATCGGCCTTGGCCAACACGGGCTGTGCGGCGTACGCCACTGGCGCGGCTTTGATGACATGAGCGGCCGGTGCCGCGTGGTACACTTGAGCGGCGGGTGCTGCATGGTACACCTGAGCGGCGGGCAGTAAACCAGCGCTGGCGACAGCCAGAAGTGCAAGTACAGCGACGAACTAGATTTGGAAGAAGTTTGTTATATACTTATATACACATGTCAGATTAATGCTGATATTGTAAAGCAAACGTGCGTAACTTACCTTGAATGCCATTTCGATTCGATTTACTTATTGACTGGTGAACTTGGAGCTGAGCTGGTGTTGCTCGAATGAATGAAAATCTGATAATGTTGCTACACTTGCCCACATAGTCTATTTATACAAGATCTTTGCGCGTTACACTTATCACAATTATTTTGGAATTATTACATTTTTTATTTTTCATCCATTTTTTAATGATGGCGAGCAATGCTGCAGAAGGTGTGTCGAAAAGTGTAGCATTGAAACTGTGGCAACGAGTCATAACTGCTCTTGTCAAATCATGTTTTCTTTCTTAATGCTTTTCTGTCTAATGGCTATTGTATACTCAAAATTGTATATATAGCGGATTTATTTTTGTAAAATCAGTTTACTGTAAAGTCGTTCAAACAGTAGTTCATGTTTTTCGCCACCGATTTTGTCTTTTCAATTTCACCACTTGTGATAAAGTGATACGAATACAAAATCAATGTATTTGCCTATTTAACTTCACTCTCGCGATTTCTTGACAGATTTTTTTTACATACATCAAACCAAAATGAAATAAGAAAGTATTGGAATTTATAACTTTAGAATTTTATCGAACTTTCAACAGTTTGACAAATGTATTTATGCTTTGGCTGGCCCTTAGTGAAATGCTCGCTATTTCTTCGGGAATAATTACATTTCATTCCTATATGAAGCAATTTCTTCTCAGATGATGCGACGTTTCAGTATCACTTAAAAATTTTGTGAACAGGACCCGGTTAAATATTTTTATTATCACAGTGGACAGAACGGTTGCCGAATGAAACTACTGAAATTGCAGGAGTATCATAACTTGATACTTTCAATGAAACTGCATGTCCCTTTAGTTAAGATTATGAAACAATAAATCTTACCACCGATACATTATGCCAGTACGATGGAGCAGACATTCCACTGTCCGACCAAGAATAACAACAAAGCGGCGTGGGCCGTTGGAATTCCATCCGAGCTATTCAAATACGGCAGTAAAGAACTGATAAAGAGCATGCATCAGCTTCTTTGTATAATATGGTCGAACTAAAGTATGCCAGATGATAGGAACTTAAGTGTGTTCTGCTTAATCCACAAAAACGGAGACCCCACATTCTGTGCGAACTACCGTTTGAAAAGACTCCTCAATATCACATATGAGGTTCTATAGATTGTAGTGTGTGAAATACTGAACTAATTGGACCTTATCAGTGTGAAGCGCATGAGTCTGGTTGTGCACGAGAACAAGATGAAATATCTCCAGTCATCAAACAGACAGTCGTCGCACTAGCGACTTGGTTCCCACATCACTGTTGACAGTCATTACTACGAAGTGGTAGATAATTTCGTCTATCTTGGAACCAGCATTAACACCAACAACAGAGTCAACCTGTATATCCAACGCAGAGTAACTGTTGCCAACTCTTTCTGAGTAGGCAATTGAGGAGAGAACTCCTCTCTCGACGAACAAAGATCAAACGCTACAAATCACCCATCATTGCCGTCCTTCTATATGGTGCAGAGGCATAGACGATGATAACATCTGATGAGTTGACGTTGAGAGGAAACGGCGAATACCGCAGTCGATGGATCGATGCGCTGTACGAGATATACGATATCGACATAGGGCGGCGAATTAAAATACACCGGCTACGCCAGCTGGGTCATGTCGTCCGAATGGTAGAACAACCTCCAACTCTGAGAGTATTCGACAGAGTACCTGCTATAGGTAGCATAGGAACAGGTAGATGTCCCCTCCTTTGAAAAGATCAAGTTGAAAAGAGCTTGGCTACACTTGGAATCTCCGATTGGCGCCAAACAACGAAAGGAAGAACGACTGGTGCCCTTTTATAAACTCGGCTTTAACGCATACGCGGTGTCTACGCCAATAAAGAAGAAGAAGAGGAAGAACACGTTAATCGTGTTTGGCTGCCAAAATTCGATTTTTGATCAGATCAAAAACATGAGTGATGAATGTACTGCAGCAAAAAATATGGACCCTGGTCAGGTGTTCGTATTGAAAAATGCGAGTATCATCTGCTGCTACGTCATTCTCCAACCCTCAAAAGAGATCTATTTACTTACATATATGTACATATATACGTTTATTATTAGATTTAAAGAAATCATTTGTATGAAATTAAAGACCACTCTCCTTCACTACAAATGCATTTTCTTCTATTTGTTCTAATTTATACCACATTCACACTGTATTTCGAAGTTTTGGTCATAAATTTTGTTGGATATTCGATCAAAATCAAGTTTTGTACACATTTAGAATAATATTTTTAACATGTCTTTGGGTTTTTTGTTTGGCCTCTGTCTCAAGTCGTTTTTGTTTTTAGCATTTACGCTCCACCACCAACGCTAAAACGCTTAACCAAAGAACGCCCGCTTGATGCGACCGATTTATTAAAACGCTCCTCATGCACTTGGCTGTGACTTAAATGGTGAGGCGTAAAGCCGAAAATGAATATCAATTATTTGTCATCAATGACAAAACGGACGATCTGAGTATAAATGCCGACCGTCAAACCGAAGAACCACATTCAGTGTTTAACTTTTGTTTCATACGGACAGAACAAAATAATCCAAAAGAAAATGGCCATCAAGGTTTGTTAATGAAGAGCTAATAGATTTATTAAACTTCTTAATGTGTAATTTCATCAAAGTGGTAGTGTGAAAATGTGAGAGAACCTCTAAATTTAAGAAAAAAAATTAATATTTGTGTCTGTGCTTCTGAATATTTCTAGTTGGTGATCGCACTCGCTCTCTTCGCTGTTGTCAACGCCGGTGTTGTGGTGCCCGCTGCCGCTCCCGTTGCTGTTGCGCCCGCCGCCGTAGCTGTTGAGGAATATGACCCACATCCACAATACAAATACGGTTACGATGTGCAAGACACACTGTCTGGCGATTCCAAAGGCCATGTGGAGGAACGTGATGGCGATGTCGTGCGTGATCGATTCCGATGGCTTCAGACGCGTTGTCACCTACACCGCCGATCCAATCAACGGTTTCAATGCCGTCGTACGTCGTGAACCCTTGGTTGCCCCCGTCGTTGCTGCTGCTCCCGTTGTAAAGGCTGCTCCAGTCGTAGCTGCCCCAGTTGCCGCTGCACCAGTGGTTAGAGCCGCTCCATTGGCCGCCACAGCCCCAGTAGTGCCGGCTTTTACCTATAGCCGTTTGTAAAACGTCGGAATCTATATTGTGAACATTGTTGTATTACTTTTGGATTAACTAGCTACTGTACGAAAAATATGTGATCTAAATATAATGTGAGAAAAGAATTTATGTATTTCAAATTATAATGAGTGAACAGGGGTTTTTGAACGAACTCTGATATCTTATTTCTAAATACGGTAAACAGTTGAGCAAGCGAAGAAACTTTCAAATTTATCTGTATCCAAGCAGTTTGAATCCATTCTCAATTCTCACCCAAAAAAATAACTAGACAATAAATTATATTATACAGTATTCACGGCTTAATTGTTCATCGAAAAATTCATGACATTCAACTTGGTTAACCACCTCGATAATAACACTACTCAACAAATCTAAAGGAGAAATTTGAGACTAATGAGCTAAGAGGTCTGTGGGGTATTTGAGATATTCTGATTATGAATTCGCGGGTTGACACTTTTCATAAGCACTTTTTGAGATGGCCTTCAGTTTTTACATTTATTTTTTTTATCTATTCGATCGATAGAAAACGGGTTCCAGTTCAGTTTGGGAAAAAATCATATGGAGACAAATCTGCTGCATACGGTGGTTGACTGGTGACATTCATTGCACTTTTGGCTTTAAAACCGGCCACAATCGTGGTTCGATGCGATGGAGCATTATCATCAGCAAGCACCTTTAAACGGTCAAATAACAACAAATTCATGAGGCACAAAACCGCAATTATCGAGAAAACAATGAGCATCACCTTAATTGGTTTCAGCTCCTTTTTTTCCCCGTCCATCCCGATGATTGTTGATTTGTTTGCATGTCAAACTCATAAACCATGTCTCATCGGCAATCATAATGCTCTTTAATACGTGGGATCGCACGATCAAGCATGTCCAAAGAGATTTGTTAATGGTACTCTTTTTGAAAAAATTCGGTCGCGTTTCATATCAAAAATCTCCACCAACATCATTTGAACAGACTCGTGAGAGATGTCGAGTTCTCTTGTTCTTCTCTAACACTTGTCTAACGATTTTCAAGCACCATATCCTTCATTATACCCTGAACAGGGTATATTAAGTTCGTCACGAAGTTTGTAGCACCCAGAAGGAAGCGTCGGAGACTCTATAAAGTATATACCTAAATGATCAGTATGTTGAGCTGAGCCATGTCCGTCTGTCTGTCTGTCCGTCTGTCTATCTGTATACGTACAAACTAGTCCCTCAGTTTTTAAGATATCGTTTTGAAATTTTGCAAATATTATTTTCTCTTCAAGGAGCTGCTCATTTGTCGGAACTGCCGATATCGGACCACTATAACATATAGCTGCCATACAAACTGAACGATCGTAATCAAGTTCTTGTATGGAAAGCTTTCACATTTGRCAATGTATCTTCACTAAAGTTGGCACAAGTTATTTTCTATGGCAACAATATAATCTCCGAAGAAATTGTTCATATCGGTTAACTATAGCATATAGCTGCCATACAAACTGAACAATCAGAAAAAAGCTCTGGTATAGATAACGTTTGCATTTGACGTGGTATCTTCACAAAATTTGTTATGAATTACTGCTTAAGGTAATAATAGTATAATCTCCGCAAAAATTGTTCAGATAGGATTACTATAGCATATAGCTTTTATATAAACTGAACACATAGTTTCTAAAAGAAATGCACCTGTGAAGGGTATATTAGCTGCGGTGCAGCCGAAGTTAACGATTTTTCTTATTATTTTAATATTTTCATCAGTTGAAGAAGTGGGAGTCGTTCAGAAAGAGGCATGTCTTCACCGATCTCTCGACTGTGTTCGAAAGCTTTGTAGAATACAACTGAAATACCGTAATCTTTTTCCAACATTGAGGTCTACCGATTTATGCAGCTGCTGTAAACAAACTGGTTGACAGATCGCGCTCATATTTGGGATAGTAATTAAGCACAGTCTTACCAACTTAGCAAAATATATTTTTAACATTTGACCGGATAACTTAATTACAATTTCCGGATGCTTTTTTGTCACAATATAAGAGCTTAGTCGATATCGCCATGTCCATCTGTATATACCAGAACTAATCGATAAGGTTTTAAGATATCGATCAGAAACACACGATTTATTCTCCACAAGAAATTATGCATTTGTTGGGTCCGCCAATATCGGTCCGCTATGAAATATAGCTGTCGTGCAAACTGACCCAGAAAAATCAAGACTTTGCATAAAGAGTTTTTTATTTTACGAGACAAAATCATGAAAGTTGATATATTATTGTGCAAAGCCACGCTACAAACTCGGAATAAATTACCTTTCCCCGTTGAATACCAGTTCTTGATCGGTTAAGTTTGCAGATTTGGATATACGAGTTGTGTTCAGAAAATAATGGAAATTATAAAATTTCGCCGGTTTGGATGGTCCAAATATCACCGAAATCAAACACGAAAATTGTTTCAACGATTGGAACAATCGTATCGAATGGGGACAATTTCAAAGGTGATACATTAATCTTGAAGAATGAATAAATTTTTGTTTTTTGAACACACCCGCTAAATTTTTAATAAGAAATAGCTAAAGACGAAGTTAAACTTTTTGCTACCGATGGGGTGTTTCAAATTTGCGAAATATCAAAAAATAAAAAAATAGTTTAGTTAGGATCATCAAAATGGAGACTACTGTTTATGGTAACTATATTTTTCACAGAACGCCATTGATTTTTTTACGTTTCAGATGAACGCGAAACACGCTTACATTACACCATGCGGCCAGGAATAATATTTATAAAACTTTTTATGAATGCCACATAGCAATTTTTATGTACAAAATTAGGCAGAGCTTTTTTCGAAGTGACAAAATTTGTGAAAGTAATTAATGTGTACTTGTGTGTGGACTTTGTAATACTGCCGCGAGACATTTGACTCTTTGTGTCTTTACATATAATTCCTACAATTGGCTATATACTTTGATAAAGTCATTTTGTTGTTGGAATAGACCTAGCAGATTTTTGTTATATTCGCTTTTTTCTCGTTTCGCGTTCCAATGACACTAATCTCGTTTTGAAAGCGTTACCTGCTCATTTTGAAATGGGTTGATAAATAGCTCCTGTACCAATATGCATATGACAAGCGAAATTGATACGAACTTATACATATATATGTACATGTGTATACAAAACAATGACTGCCAGTAATGGTGTATTTGAAAATATGAATATTTCCAAAAAATGGCAACAAAACACCAAAAAAGCAGAGAAAAGTGCGAAAAAATAGAAATTGTTTAAAACCAAATGTTTACCGCCATTGCTATATAAACCGCACACATTTTAACAATAAATCATTCAGCATCTTAACACCTTACGACGCAGCAATTGTGTACCCACTACCAAATCTAAGCAAAATGGCATTCAAGGTAAATAACTTACGCCACTCAATTTATTTAAATAAAATTTCATCTTCTCTTATTTGCAGTTCGTAGCAATCCTCGCTTTTGCCGCGGTGGCCAGCGCTGGCGTTCTGCCCGTGCATGAGGTCTACCAACACGCACCCGTTGCCACCGCCGTCGTGAAGGCGCCAGTGGCTTATGCCGCGCCAGCTCCAGCTTATGCTCATGTCGCTCACGCTCCAGTTGCTGTACACGCTCATGCTCAACCGGTTCTTGCCAAGCACGATGACGAATACGACCCACATCCACAATACAAATACGGCTATGATGTGCAGGACGCACTCTCTGGCGATTCCAAGAGTCAAACGGAGGAGCGCGATGGTGATGTCGTCCGCGGCGAATACTCCTTGGTCGATGCTGATGGTTTCAAGCGCGTTGTTCAATATACCGCCGATCCCGTTAACGGTTTCAACGCTGTTGTCAACCGCGTGCCTTTGGAACATGTAAAAACTGTGGTGAAAGCTGCTCCCGTAGCCTACGCCGCCCCAGCTCCCGCTTACGTTAAGGAGTACGCCGCTCCAATTGCGTATCATCACTAGAGTAATTTAGGGAACGCAATTTTGTTGTTCTTATCACTGGAAAAAATTGTTAAGTAGTTTTAGGAAAAAAAAAAATTCAATAAAAGCCATTGAGCTTTTAAAGCTTCATCTATAATTAGCGCGGTAATAATTACGAGGCTTTGCCACAAAGTTTGTAAAAGAAAGAAGCATTCGTGGGAGTCCCTCTAAAATACATATAATTGTTTATCATGACGAGCTGAGTCGATTTAGCCATGTCCGTCCGTCTGTTTGTATATATGCGAACTAGTTCCTCAGTTTTTGAGATATCAATCTGAAATTTCGATGTTCATTTTTCGGAACTGCCACTTTCGGACCATTGTAGTATTATATATACCACAGCTGCGCTACAAAATGCGCGATCGGAATTAAATACTTATAAGAAAACTTTTCCATTAGACGAGATATATTCACGAAATTTGGAATGGGCTAAGACAGTGGTACAACCTCCGAAGAAATTGTTCAGAACGAGTACCTATACAGTTGCTCTATGTTACTTACTATTACTGGATGATGGAACCATGTGATAAAGTAAAGCCATTCACTTGAGAATGGCCAGAAAAGATTCTTTATCCGGTCCGGTTTCCGGTCTTGACAGTCATAACTTCGCAGTCATAGATAATTTCATCTATCTTGGAAGCAGCACTAACACAACAACATCAGTCTCGAAATCCAGCGCAGGCAAAGTCTTGCCAACAAGTGCTACTTCGGACTGAGAAGGCAATTGAGAAGTAAATTCTCCTCTCGATCATCCCGTGCTGCTATATGGTGCAGACGCATGTACGATGACAACATCTGATGAGTTGGCATTACGAGTTTTCGATAGAAAGGTTCTGCAGAAGATTTATGAAACGATGAGCTGTACGAGGTATACTATACGTCGACATTGACATAGTTTAGCGAATAAAGCCACAGCAGCTCTGAGAGTATTCGACGTAGTACCCGCCGAGGGAAGCAGACTCCTTTGGAAAGTCCAGGTGAAGAAGGACTTGGCTTCGTTTGGAATCTTCAATTGGCGCCAGTTAGCGAAAAGGAAGAACGACTGCATAAGCGGTGTGTACGCCAGTAAAGAGGAAGAAGCAACTCACAAAGCTTGTCGCTCATTACCTACTAGTTTCGAAAATAAGTACTGAAACTCAACATTGTATTTCAGTGCGTAATTATATTTGTTGTAGTACATTAGTGTCAACCACAGATTCGCCTACTTTTATGAATTTTTTTACACCAACCATGTTGCCACCACGCCATATCAGCAATTCCGATTTCATAAATCAAGAAAAGAGGCTGACAAAGAAGCTGATACAATTCAATAATTACATGCAAATTGAATTTAATGTGTATAATTTAGTTAATTTCGTACAAGTGCAGTCCATAATTGACTGGTAAGGCGAATCATAAGTGATGACTGAATTGTCGAGGTTGACCTGTTGCCACAGATTGCAGCCAAGTGCAACTGCAACACAGTCCCTTCACCGTGTGTAATTTCGACAACATAATTTACGGCAGTTGTCCTCTTAATTTCTTTGATGTTTACAAAGCATGTTGGCAATATAAAAAACTGAAATAATTCATTGCTCCAATCAAAGAAATCTGAATACTCAACGCATAACGGCAACAGTAACTTCGACTGCAAACCGATTGCCGTAAGCCAAATAAATACAGAATATAAGTTCTTATGTGAATGTCTGCATGTGTGAATATTTGTACAAATACTCAGTGATCTGGCGGCAATTGTTCGAATTTTTCTCATTTTTCTCAATTTTGGCAACGCCGCACTCAGCGGAGTGTTAAGGTCAAAGTCAGGTTTTATTGATAATCGACGCACATACCTCGGGTATTGTGTTTTGATCATGCCACATAACCCATGGCAGTACCTTCACTGTCTGTCGGGCAATTGTTATTGCTTCTTACGCCTGTGCTCTTGCCACCATGACCGGCGTAAATCTCTTGTAAATGTCTGGTATTACAAGCGACCAGCCGATCGACCAAATAACTCCTCATAAAGACTTTACTTAACCTACGTACAAAAACAACAAAACAGTACCACAATAACTGCGTGGTAGCCAAAGCTACATTGACGAGTACAACAACCACAATATTACCACTGTAACTGTAACCGAATGCCGAACTACCGACACAAGCGCAATTGCAATCGACGAGCACGCAAACAAGTGTCGCACAGTGGGATTTTTTAGTCGGAAACAAGAATAATAGTTTGAGGGAAGCCGATCATTTTTTAAGGGAGATTTTAAATAAATAAAATCATGTACAGCGATCTATAGGAGGAGCTTAAAAATTGGGTCTAGCGGTGAAGAAAAATTTTCTGCGAACCTTTCTCAAGTCCCTAAAGCAAAAACGTGTATTATTATAATAGATAAATATGACGAATAAATAATTCAAAAATTCTTCTTTATTGGCGCAGTCACCGCTTACGCGGTTATAGCCGAAAATAACGCACCAGTCGTTCTTCAATTTCGCTGTTTGGCGCCAATTGGAGATTCCATTCTCCACTTGGTCTTTTCAACAGAGTGGAGGTCATCCTTTTTCTCTGCTTCCACTAACGGGTACTGAATCGAAAACCTTCAAATCTGGAGATGAAAGAGCATAATCCGGAACACATGACTTCATCAACCGCAGTTTCGTATCATAAATCTACCACAGAACCTTTCTGTTGGAAACTCGGAGCGCTGACTCATCAGATGTTGTCATCGTCCATGCCTCTGCATCACATAGAAGGACGGGGATTTGTAGAATTGGGTCTTTGTTTGTCGAGAGAGGAATTTACTTCTAAATTGCCTACTCAGTCGGAGGTACCACCTGTTGGCAAGAGTTATTCTGCGTTGGATTTCGAGACTGACGTTGTTGTTGGTATCAATGCTGGCTCTAAGATAAATGAAATTATCTACTAGATCTGCAGGTCGAATTATTTTCTCCAAGAGTTGATTGAAGAAGACATACAGTAAGGAGTCGCTTTGTCTGAAACCTCGTTTGATATCGAACGCCTCGGAGAGGTTCTTCCCAATCCTGACAGAGCTTTTGATTTTTCTCTCAGTTTACAGAGTCGTATTAGTTTTCCGGAGATCTCATCCGAGGCAAATTGTTTTCCTTTTCATTGGAAGTGTTTTTTCTATGTTACGGATTCTAAACCCAGTGGAATTTGTTTTTTGGTTTAAGACCAAAAGTCTTAAGCTAATGTGAAAGTGATTGGCGATCAGAGAACTTTCCTCACTTTCGCGAACTTCTAAATATAGGTTCATGCTCTAAAAATCTTCATGAGAAACCGTTAGTCTCTACTTATTTAAACTCTCTTTATTCGTGAAATTTTTGTATATATTATGTCACATGTTTAGTAAAATCGGTGAAATCGATACACTGTACGCGTATATTTGTATGCAGCACACATGCGATATGGCACGTTAACAGTTAATTTAGCTACATTCATACGAATGTTACTTACGGTTTGTCACGGCCACTATTTGGGTAAATTTCGCCTTTTGCCGCACACACCGTTGCTTTTAAAGTTTATTTCCACTTTTATTTTCGCCTTACTTTTAACGACAGAATGTCCAAATTCCCTCAAAATCGGGCCATCGTTCGCAAAGTCACTGCCATTATGAATTACGTGCGCTTGTATGATTCTCACAGCGCTTCAATTTACCTCGCCGCGCTACACTCTACCCCCGGAATTCACGCACGCGATTAACCTTGATATGGACGGAAATCGAAAGTGAATTTCAATTTGGACAATGGTGATTTATATTTTAACTTCTTCTTCCTTTCTACAAAAGAGCACTTTATTTACATTCTCTTGTGGATCAGAATTGGCAGCCTGCAGATCGCAAGATGGGTACAGTTTCTGTTTGGTAATGATTTGAGTCTCATTTTTGTATCTTCTCTGGCAGTTTACTATCAAAAATTATGATAAGGTTAAAATCAACGAAGATTATAATTACAATCGATTAGGTGGATGAGGAGACTAACGTAAGCCATTAAACTTCAGTAGTGCCTATGCAAGTTTTCAATTCTAAGATGAGTCAACAATTTAATATAACTTTCTATATTTTTCACTTTAACTATTTTTGCTTTATATAGTTAGCGTTCTTTCAGAAGTTTTGAAGATGAGTATTATAAGTATAATGGTGGACTTGGTTATTATCGTATTTTATTAATTATCACACCGAATCATAAATAAAAAAAAATATTGTTTCATTAATAACATCATGATTTTTTCAATTCAAATCTTTCAAAATTGTTTAAAAAGCCTTAAATTCCCTAGTGCTTACGTTTAATTTCCGAAAATTCGTCACTATGCCTATGCCAAACTTTACAGTAAGCCAAGAAATATTGTAAGTGTTCCATCCTTTAACAAGGCAACTCAATTTTAGTTCAAGTTGTCTACAAGAACAGACTGATGACCGACCAAAAACATTCGTTTTCACTCCTGTTTTAGGTATTACCTCTCTTAAGGGCGTACATGGGTTTACAGGTTTCAAAATATTGATTATTTTTATTGTGTTATTACATTCTGCAATTTCTCTAGACTATTGTCCTAAGCTTTCAAGTTGATCTGAGTAATAGTTTCGGATATACAGCTTTGTGAACTTCTGCGTTCGAGACGGGTTTTGTCTCGAAACTGTGTTTTTGAAGTCGTTTAGCAAGATTTCTCGAGAACCACACAACCGATCGTCATGATATTTTACACAGGTTTTTGAGAAACAATCCTTAAGGAACTGGCGGAAGGTTTTTTTACAAATACAACTATTTGAAATTTTTATTTTTTCGTAAAAATGTCCGGCAAACCTCCAATTTTCAGTTATTTCTTCCTTCATCCAAGTCAAGTTTTAACTAAAACATGTATTTTTTCACTTTAAATGATCCTGGAAGAAGTTCTCTTGCCAAGCTTTTTTCCGAGGGGTCACCGGAAATAGAGTCGCAATTGCAGAGTTGAAAGTATTTGTTTCCAAAAATTTCAAAATCTCTTTGTTATTAGTGAATGTTTGTAACAATAAAAAGCAACAATTTCTTCTTTTATATAATATTAGAAAAAAATTATTGAAAAAATATTATTTTTTACCCGAGGAAACCCATGTGACTCTT